TATTCTTAATACAATATTTTTACAGAGAATATAATTGTATCATAAATATACAAAAAAAACAATCTCAAGAAATTAATTACAGTAATTACATCCAGATATATAGCTGTAATGTTTAATAATGGAGCAGCCTGTATTAAATTTCATAATATTCTATTCGCATTTTGCCTAAACTTTAGCACCTTAATTATTAAATTGCTAACATAAGTTATATGTTATGCAATATAATTGCAAATAATATATTTTTCGCTTAGAAAAAAAAACAATGTACCATGTATGCATAAATGTATGACTATTAATGAATTTAATAATAACAAATGAAATAAGAATATATTGCGTCAAAACCTGTGCTTTTAAAATTATAATGGCATATATTAAATATTTATTTAATTTATTTACACGCCACTTTTAGTGATGAAATATAATGTTAAATCAGCAATAATTCTTATTTTACTTTATCATAAATATATTTATATTTGTTAGATTTTATCACACTGCATATACTATTTTATATCATTCTATCTACATAATTTTATTATTCTAATAAAAATAAATATTACTTCTATAACATAAATTATATTTTAATTCTTAGAATCATTACCCGTTTCCTTTAACCGATACTAAAAATGTATTTTACAATTTATTAAAATATATTTATTAGTTAATTAATAATAAATACTTTAAACGTATTAATTAATTAACTTTACATTATTATTGTAGGATAAAATTTGTGCACGCTTTGTACAATTTCAATAAAAGTGTGTAAATAAATATTACAATTTATTTAAGTTATTATAATTATTATCCACTTTAAATTAGTTAATTAAACTATTTCAATTTCATTTACGCTATGCAAATTTTTATATATCGTATGATTATATAAACATTATAAATATTTATCACAATATATTGGTTAAACTTTAGGTAACCGCAACAAATCAGACACTACATATATTTTCTTCATTTGTTAATAACTAAAATATATGTAGAGTTTCTGAAGATAAATATGTATATTAATTCTAATATAAATTAAAATCTTCAAGTACCTTGGTTACACTGTCTCAATGTGCTGTGTTGTATTACAATTATTGATTTTTATAAAAATATTATAAAAATAACATAAAATATATTATTAAAGAAAAAATATTACATAATTGTTTGCATATTGTTTTCATATGATATATAACTTTTTTTTGTGTAATATAGTACGGAAAATATAGTATAATATATCTACCTAGTACAAAGTATTATATACAGAATATATGTATTATTAAGGCCGCGAAATATGAATAGCGATTCTACAAAATTAAATAATCATATTTACATTCCTAATTAGAAGGCAACAACCCAGATTTGCCCTCGTATATCCTGTACCTTACCAATCCTCAGGGTATTTCGTGAAAGCTCTTGTTTACATTATTAATATAGTTAAACATGTTTTAACATGGATAATTTTATGGTAAAAAAAAGGTTTTTAAATTTACCTCTCTCGACGTTTCGACTAGGTTGCAATAGTCGTGATTATGAGCTGATGACCTAGTACAACCTTGTAGAAATGTTGTGAGAGGTAAATACGTTTATTAACCATAAAATTGCCCGACTAGCTCAGGATGGGCGCAAATAACTGCAATACAATTTTTTTATAAATTAATGTAGTTGTTTAAGTTAACGTGTTATTGTAAAAATTTCGTAAATTTATTTCAATAGATTCTTGTCTGATTCGGTTTAACTACATATATTAAAAATAAGCTCTTGTTTAGTAGATTCTTACATTTTGTATTTACTATAAATTGTTATTTCGTGGTTCCGGAGATTTTTTGGTTAACGAGTGATTATGACCATCAATATAATCATTTACAATATTATGAATGTGTTATAAAAACATTTATAAGAATAATATGTATTTTTATATTATATTGTTAATTTATAAAAGTAATATGCTACATGTTTATCAATAATTGAACATGTATATGCTCTACTTAGTTTGGTACTAGATGGCGCTATTTGATATTTACCTATATCCAGTGGTAGAACTTTGGTAATAAATGAAATGAAATTTCACAAATTTCACAGTAAAAAATTAACTAACAATGTCCGAGAAAAGCAGAAAATGTTTACATTTGAGAAAAATTATGTAAATTAAATAGCTATATAGGTAATAAAATATAATTTTAACATTTAAAAAATAACCATTTAAGTTATATAATGGAGACTCAAATGTTTACGAAAAATAAACACATTTTTTTAAACCGGTAGTCAATTTATATTATTATTTTTATAACATATATTTACATATAAAAGGACGGAGAAGAAAGGCACAAAGATGAAATATTATATTTCCTCATAGATATACTATACTTTTTAAATGACTATAAAAAGAATTGGTACTCAACCAGAAGAACCAATTTTTTTTGTTCCAGTTTTACCCAGTATTATATTCGCCAAAACTGAAGAAATTTTAATGATTCTTTTTACATAATCTTTTGGACCGGAAGGAATTTCATCGCTTGGTCTGTTCTTGACTCGGCTGCAAGCTGTTTAAGTGTAACAAAACAGAATCTTTGTATGTATTCCAAAGTGACATAGGCTATATTCCATTTCGTTTATTCCTGTTTTTTTTTATTGAGGGATTTAGCCTATTGGCTGGTATGTTAGACCTGTAGCACTGCTATCTACATATGTATTGTGTTCTCCCTTATAATTTACGTTAGTATTTACTTTGTAAGCATTAAATAAATTTTCTATTGCAGATTTAAATGTACTCGAAGAGAATAATTAATAATTTTAGATTTGAATGTTACAATGCGCAATAAATAGGCACCCTATAGACCTAAGATTTAGTATTTCCTTAAAAGATGTTTACGTTAAGAAAGTTTGACAATTCAAATTTGACTTCAAATATCCCGGTATTTGAAGTTATACACAATGATAGCATTATGTATAACTTCAAATATCCCTAGAGATAAGTTTTGAAATGTTATTTGGATGGATTAGTAACTTGTTTTTGGGTACTTGTAACCTGTAATTAATTATTTTTGTCCTATTTTGAAATGCGCTAGAGTATATAAAGACTTAGTCATAACAGGAAAAACAGCCGTTTTCATATTATGGAATATCAACATTTAAGCAAATTGTCATAGCTGCACGTTCCACAATGTGCGTTGTAACATGACCATCAAGTTTTAATGGTAGAGGCAAACATAACTGAGTTTACTATTTTGTATAAATGCTATTTAGAACAACAATAGTTTTTAATTTATAATTGTTTTGTTTATATACTAATAGGAATAAAACAAACATAAACATATTAAGAGAAGTTTACCGCAAGTTAGTAGAGATTTCACCCGACTCGGTTAAATCGTTTCTGATAAACGCACAGACCATGTTTTTAATAACTTATTTATATTTCTAATTTATTGTTGTTATTTATAAATTTCCTAAAAATTATAACATTCTTTTGCATTATTATTATTATAGGTATTTATAGATTTTTATAATGTGTCTATATAAATATACATATATAACAGAGAGCGCGCATTTCGTTACGAGGGAATAAATTCGCACTGCATCGATTTGAGAAATTTTTTCAAAGGTACAGTGACCTAGACTGTACTGGAACTAATTTATTATATAAAAAAAATAAAAAATGTCTTTAAACACTTAGAAAACCGGACGATACCGGGATGAGCACTAGTATTAAGTATATAACAGGGAACAAATACGGATACAGTATAGCAGATTTTTAGTTATAACCTACAACTGATTCTTACTAAATAGTTTTTGAAACGGCTATTCGCATATTCTACGGTAATAAAATTTGACTATTATAAACTAATATCTGGGGTCAATCCGCACAGCGCCATCTAGTCCAAAGCTAAGCGAAGTTTCTGTTATAGGTACTGGACAATTGATATAAATTAGATACATTTTTTTTGTCAATACACATATACCTAATACGCATAGAAAACACCCATACCAATACAAACAATTATACACATCAATACAAATGTTTGTACCGTACGAGGAATCGAACCCGCGACCATCAGAAATAAGGTGCTAAACTGCTAGATAATAATGGTTATCGGTGAATGTGCCTGTACCTTATAATTTCACTTTTATATCTCTCTCTTTGAACCGGAATACAAACATAAATAGTCAATAGCTGCCTTTATACATGTACATATATACTTTATATATGTACATATATAAGATCTTTTACGCGCGAATAAGTTTTTACAGAATAGGCATGTAACTGTACTGTGTAAAGGGAACGCGCGCGCCACCATCTTGTGCATTCCCGCGTTCTACAATCGCGCGTGCTTTAGCGCCATATTAAAATTATTATTTATCATTCCAAAATGGCGGACATCTGACTATGGAGCAAAGAAATAATTATAGAGAAACTTAATCTGTATTTTTGTAAACACATTTGAAAAGAATAAGTGTTTAGTTTCCTGTCAGTTCTTCTTAGCTCGAAAGCACTCCGAACTGACGGTAGATTTGACATATCATAAGAGTCTGTAATACAGATATTTACCTGAATAAAGATATTTTGATTTCAGTTATTGTTTAATTTATAAATCTTAAACGTGTCACTGGAAATTAAAATCAGTGAAATAGAGAATACATGGTTATTGTTGCTGACGTACTGGCCACATACTTTTATAATTCATATATTGTATTTTTCTAAAGAATTTTATTACATATTTTTTGTATACAGAACTTTAATATCAAATAAACATTGTGACAGACAACAACAGTTATAATTTAAAAAAAAACTTGAATCAAACACGCAAACACGCGCGAAAGAGTTAACAAAACAAAATAGTTACATGTAATCACGATTGCGCGCGCTGGCTTCCCGTGCTCTTAATCGCGTGTAATTAAAAAAAAAATGTGAAAATTAAAAAAAAAGTATGTGTTGTAAAGGTAGCTAATATGTAGGATTATACTTAAATGGTACATTCACTGAACTGATGGCGGGCTCGTGGATGCTCTAATTGTTATGATGATGTCTTCGTCTTCAGCAACAGCACCGGCCAGTACATAGTCACGAAAAGGAGGAATAAAGCGGGAAACACCACGCGAGATAACTTGTCTATCTCGCGCCACAACACTCGCTCTTGTCCAGTGTCGGCGTCCAACCAGGCTACCTGGAATAAAATAATGTAATGTAATAATAATAATAATGAGTAAATAATAATAATGAATTACACTAATAATGAGTGCGTAGCGATTTCTATGTTAATTATCGCATGCCTCTCACTTGATATAATTACAGTAATTATTTATATAAAAAAACATCTATTAATAAGAGCGACACGCAAGTTTCTTGCTCATTCTTCTGGCATTACGAATGAGTGGTAGAATCAAAATATGACTATTCAAAAGTGCTTGTAATGAGTTTATTTGAATAAAGATTATTTCTATTTCTATTTCTAATAACAATAGATAGAATTTAGACAATGCACACAGCGCCATCTAGTCCCAAGTTAATCAAAGCTTGTGTTATAAGTATTACATAATGGATTTAAATATGTAGAAAACGGCTAGACCAATACAAACAATCATACTCATGAATACAATTTTTTATGTTATGCGGAGAAATTGAACCCGCGTCGATTGGAAGTAAGGCGGTATGCTAAACCACTAGACTACCAAGGATACGAATAATTAGAGAAAGACTAGAAAAAGTCATCTGCGTATGTAGCCTAACTAAGCAGCATGTCGCCAGATAGCTTGCATTGTAAGCTGTATTTTGGTTTCATGGTAAGAAAAAGCAGTGAAATTACAGGATATGAGACATACCCTCAGGATAATAACAATAATATTCTCGGACAATTCACACAACGAATCATCCAATCCCAAGACAAGCAGAGATTTTGTTATAGGTACTGGACAACTGGCAGATATACTATATCTATTTTTTTTATTTAAATAAATACAAAAAATATATAGAAAACACCCAAAGCAATACAAACAATCATACTCATGAATACAAATATTCGACCGCTGCGAGGAATTGAACCTGCGATTAATAGAAGGCGGTGTGCTAAACCGCTAGACCACCGAGGTCGTCGTTATACATCGAGTGACTTACTGTAATTACATACAGTTAGATAGAACGATATTTTATTATTCCCTCCAAAACATAATACAGTAACAAAATTACAACAAACAGATCAAGAAAACAAAACAAAAAGGATCTTATCTCTAAAAGCGATCTTTTCCAATCCAATAATCTCTAAGAGGTTTATTATTTTTATTCTTTTATTTCTTTTCTATCCTTTATCTTATGTATAGAGAGCTCACAAAGATCAACGCGAATAAAAAACCCGTGGTACAATGTGAAAACATGTGAACAACCAGGAAAATAGTGGATCGTATTTGTATTGTAATCCAATAAGGAATCGACAATACTATCATAGGGGCAAATTACTACAATTTCTACGTATTGAATATATATATATCTTATATATAAAATTCTCGTGTCACAGTTTTCGTTCCCATACTCCTCCGAAACGGCTTGACCGATTCTCATGAAATTTTGTGAGCGTATTGAGTAGGTTTGAGAATCAGCCAACATCTATTTTTCATCCCCCTAAATGTTAGGGGTAGTTCACCTCTAAATTTTTTAACGTTTGCCGGGACTGCTAGTATATATATATGATACTGTACATATAACAAAGTGCTGTTAAATTAGAAGTAAATGGTTTTGTATGACTTATTCTATTCTATTATATATATACGGTACAGATACCAAGATAACATTTATTTTAATTTTTGTCTGTCTGTCTGTCGGTCTGTTTGTTCCGTATGTATTTATACGTAAAAACTTTGTATTCGTTTCTAAGAAAATTCTGCGAACGGAGGAGTATGAAATTTCACACACTTACAGTTTATATAGAGGAGTGCAGATAGCTAATATATTTTTTTAAATTAATCTTAGAAATATATTAAAACAATAAAAAATAAAAATACACACACCACCATATATTTGACACGTACATGCGCATATATACTGTTTTGTTTATTGTTAAAGTCTATGGTCAAATTTATAATAGATTAATATTATTTGTCTATAGCCTCACTTAATATTAAATTAATTATGGTAGAAACTTTAGCACTCGGCGTAGTAGTCGCCGTAAGTATGTATAAATATAATGACAACAATAAATAAAATGTATTATTATATCTGATGACTACCTCAGTGAACTAGCATCCGCTTTACTTCCAATTGACACGGGTTCAATTCCTCGCAAGATGCGAACATTTATATACATGTATATTTGTAAGTTTTCTATGTATATTATGTATGTATATTAAATAATATTTAATCAAATATTAGTATTATAATTAGTTGTTTAGTTAAATTATAGTTAGTTTATGTAATACAAGCAGTTTGTTTAACCTGGGATTAATAGCGTTATGTAAATTGTCCAGGGTTTATTATCAATGTATATGAATAAATAAATAATGTTAATTTAAAAGTTCGTTGGAGAAGCTCTATTTTAATTTAGATTAATAACACTATAAGTCCTCTATTTAAGCATGATGTTTCAAAACAGAGGTTAAATCGTTCGAATGAAAAATATATTTTTCATGTCCTTTTTAATTTAATGAATAAGCTTTCTGAAGAGTTCGGTCCTGATGACAAATGGTGAGTTTTAAGGCGAGCAATTTTAGAAGATATTGGCTTTCCAAGGACTAAAGGAAATTGTATTAGTTAGGGTATTGACTGAGGGTCTAGACTGGCTATTTTGGTGAATGAAAATAAGGATAATGTTCTTACAGGGCGAGGTCCATGACCATTATTTGTCGATGAGAAACTACTATATTAATAGTTATATTATACTCATAAATATGATACTTTGTATGTTCAGATGATAGTTACAGGAGCATGTTTTTTTATAATTATATTATTTGACGGCGTCGGTGGTTTAATGGTTTAGAACACCGCCTTACTTTCGATGGTCGCGGAGTTCATTTTCACACGGTTCAAACATTTGGATGATCTGATACAAACATATCAGATTAGGCGCTTTTTAAGTATATTATGTAAATATTTACAAAAAAATGTATCTACGTGTTCTATCCATTGTCTAGTATACATAAGACTCTGTTTAGCTTGGAACTAGATGGCGTTGTGTGAATTGTTTTAAGATACTAGCATTATATTATATATATTTAACTAATTAAATATATATAATATAATACTAGTATAATACATATAATTAACATTTTAAAATATAACTGGAATTTAGGCTGACAAAGATTTTTTTTATGTGTGGAAAATTGTATGAAAATTGAATTTTTTATATTCTAATCTCATCTTATTAATTTAGATTACTAGTTGATCCCCCAAACGTTGTTTTTTCAATTAAATTAAAATGGCTATTAAAAAATAGGGGTTGATGGTAGAAGGGTGAAAATTTAAGGTTATATATAATTTTAAATTCCATATAATAAATAAAAGAAAAACGTCCATAAATAAAAAAAACATGTTAGGAGGATATCTCTTATCACTGAAAAATAGGTAGTAGCCGATTCCTAGACCTACTGAATATGCATATAAAATTTCATAAAAATTAGTCAAACCATTTGGGAGGAGTATGGTAACTAACATTGCTACACGAGAATTTTGTATATATGATTATAACCATCATAATGCATTTATATCGTAATATATTACGATTCCACTGTTATTTTTGTGATGTATTTAATTATGTTTTTTTTATTATACCGTCACGGTGTCAGTATCGCAGTCGCATCGTACAGTCATACTACGTACAGTCTATGTAAGATTTCATTTATATGCGGAATGTAATGTTACGGGCTTGGCCCATAACAAATTCTATTAACTTACGTAACTGCGCTATATCTCTTTGATTTCCCAAATCTCTAGAGCTGATTATTTTTTACTAGTCTTTTGTATACGTAAAATTACCTCATATTATTATATATAATGGATTTTTATATACCATAGAGGCTGCACGATACGTAATGTATATGAGGTTTTATATAATAAGAAATATTTATTACTAGCTGTACCTGCGATTTCGTCCGCGTGGAATTTAACGTTATTGTTCTAAAATAAAAGTAGCCTAAGTTACTCCTTATTACATCAGCTCCCTGCCAATAAAAGTCCCGTAAAATACGTCCAGCCATTTCAGAGATTAACCGGAATAAACAAACCGACAGTCAAAATTAAAAAAAAATATATTTTGGTGTTTTTATATTCATATGTATGTAGTAAAGAAATTCTATAGTATTGATAAGTAGGCTCTTATACGCCAATCGAACGGCATTGTCAGTATGGGCCGTAAACGGTACCAATATTTGTACCGTGTGAGGAATCGAACTCGCGACCATAACTAGTAAAGCGGTGTGCTAAACCGTTAGACCACCGAGACCGTCTTAAATATAATTATTAGCATCCAAGTTGGAAATATACTAGGACCGTTTTTTCAATTATAGTCAACAGAATATTGGTGATGCAGATTTATGTATAGCTTTGTGCTGAGTTGATTGCCACTTCATCTTTGCGACGTATAAAGCCATCTCCATTTTTTTAAATTTGTACTAAAATGGAAATGTTTGTCAATGATTGATTGAATTTATCTAAAATTCTTTATTCATTCTTCTTCTACTTTTTACCTGTAAAATACTCTGCCGTCGCTCAACACCGACTAAATGCGGGTTGCTGTGAGGTGCTGACGGCGCTGGATGTACAGCAGGCGTGGCCGCCGCCGGTGACGTTGGTGACGTAATATCCACTTTCCGGCATCGAACTCCGCTACCTTCCCATGCAGCTACTGTGCCGCATGAACCTTTCTCCCCATTCAATCTCTGTATACAATAATCATAATTAACTTTGACAATTAACACAGCGCCATCTAATCACAAGCTAATCAACGCTCTGCTTACCTTGTGAATTTCACAAACTAGATGGCGCTGTAAATTTGACATTGTCTATTACCCATTTTATAATATTGAGTAATAGACAAATTCAAATTCAAAATATGTTTTTTCAACTGATAAATATTTTACAGAAACATTTAATTTTTGTAAAAATATATATAATTTATATAGGAAATACCCAGACTGATACATACATTTATACTCATTAATACAATTGTTTATACTGTGCGAAGAATCGAATCCCCCTAATCATAAGGCAGCGTGCTAAACCGCTAGACCACTAAGGCAGTCTCAAATAAAATATTACTTCACGACTTTAATTCCACATGGAGTAGTCAGGGACATTATTATTAATTGACGTTATCACGGCGAACGTAAGACTACACATGCTCATATTTCACTAAGTATATTTAATACGGCGGCAATAAGTAAATTCATTACGGCAGAGACCGAATCTACTGCTATCCCTCCAACTATAATTACATATATGACAAAGTTGATGCTTGACAAATATATAGTATACATATAGTTGCATCAAAAAATTTAATATAGCAACCAGTTATTTAGTACCGGTAGGTCTATTCAGTTTGATCGGGTCCATCGTATGGCAGGGAAGGACTCCGAGCAGTTCCCGGGACTTGAGACCCGGGTATAAGTTTACGGGGCCCCTTTGCTAAGGTACGTCAACACTTACCTTACCTCTAATATTATCTGTGTAATTTCTAGGTTATCTATAATAGGAAAGCTAAACTAAACCTAAATATAATGCACTTTTTTCTTACCACTGGAATAATTCTCGGCAGGGCTTCTTGTGCCTTGCTTTTATTCACCTGGTACTGCTTATCTAATACTTTAACTACTACGAACTCTCCAAGAGCTGCAAACACGAACATCATACATCCTGCCATCCATAGGTCCAGTGCCTGAAAACGATATTTTCTTTTATTTTATCGAATTAGGTATTCTTTTTCGGAAATCCATTTCATTACATAATAGATTTATATTATTTTGTTTAATTCTGCTATCAGAATTATTCAGTACGGAAATCCGACCACTGCTACTGGCAGCGTTATGACCTCCATTACTAGTGATCAAATTCCTGTAGGAATCTACACCCATATTGCGACAAATGTTTCGGCTCTGGACGAGACATTATCAGGTAACAAATAGTTCGAATATAACTTGGAAGCCTTTTGACAGGTCGTTAACCTGCAGTTGAGAACCCCGAACAATCAAGACTTGGCTTTGGCTTCGAAGCTTCCAGTATTAGTGGGTAAGTTTTCGCATTAAATATTTGTGATCGCATCAATGCTAATGATAGCGGAATTAAACAAAATAACATAAATCCCCTAAGTAAAGATATATCTCATTTAATGGAATTGTACACCCGTCTACAGTAACGGTATATGCAGGCAGAGAGAAGGAGGTAGGAGACACTTTTGCATATACTGTTTTTAAGAAATGAATTAGTTCCTATCGCTAACAATCCTTTTTCCTCCTGAAAAAGATACTTTGTAAGCATAATATATTAGTTCGGCTCTGTCTCTATTTAAAGGCAAGTCCAGTGAATAAAAAAAAAACGTCGAAAATAATATAAATACATAATGATGACTGTTAGCCCGATTGGCGTAACCAGAAGCATTATCAAGTGGTTTTGAATACTCTCAGATAGTTGACAACGTCTCTGATTATTCTAGGATTTCAGTCGTAATAATATCCTTCTTAACAACTCACTTTAACGTATGCCACTGGTGGTATATCAGCTCGTAATCCTGTGAACATGGTGACCAGGGTCAACATGCAGGTGACTAGTAAGGTGACTCTCCCAGGGATGGCATCTAGGTCCAGCCAGAAGCTGAACCAGGACAGCATCACGACCAGGGACGATGGTGCGAAGGTTTGAATTAGGTGGTGACCAATCTGACGCTCGAATCTGAAGTATACTACTAATCTCGAGTAGTTACCTGAGGAATAGATAGTTAATAATGTTTATTTTATTAATATTGAGCGAAGATTATCATTTGACAGAAATTCGATAATATTAAGAATATTGTTAAATTTTGGGATTAAAAAAAAGCTTTGGGATAAAAAGTATCTCATGTCACATGAGACACTTTTTATCCCAAAGCTTAATTCAGGTAATAAAACATGTATTTACATGTTTTATTACCTGAATTGTCACATAAGATACTTTTTATCCCATCTTCATCATTTTTATCGCATCTTTTACATGGACTGTGTGAAAATTGATATGGTAGAAAAGGAAATGAATAACTAGATTGACTGCGAATAAGGATGAACGGAAGAGAGAAACATATCACGTCGACTCCAAATGAATGGGATAAGGAAGAAGGAGATAATGATGAGTAAAAGATATTCAACTTTTATAATTGAATGATATTCTCTTATCTGTGAATACAATAATAATATTATTCAAATATAATATATTTTTGATAAGATTTTTTTCATTCTCAATCTATAGATTTTCAAAAACTACGTTTCGTGCCTCGATATCTTCTTGTGATAAGACAACTTTCCGAATGAGTGGTACATAAAAAAAAAAAGTATGATTTAAGGTGCCTAAATTTAAATTTATTTTAATAAAGATTTTACCATTCTATTACATATAATGATATGTAATAGAAACAAATACAATGGGGTTTATTCGTAATTTTTTCTGGAAGAAAATTTCTGTAAATAATATGGTAAATGAGCTATATATATATTATATTAATATAATATATTATATTATAATAAGAATAGATATAATATAATGTTTCCTTTTGTTTTCTTAGACTAATTAATTTACTTAGTTCATAATTTCATTGTTTGTTATTATTAAATAAAATATAATATTTTTATAATTATACCTCTATGTCTTCTTTATATAAATATTATTTTGTATGGAATTAACAAACCGTCAATATAATACAAATTCCTAGAATAAATTAATTAAATATATATCTGATCAAAAACTGTTGACGTTGATCTGTGAAGGTTTTTATTGACAGAATAAACTTCGAATGTATATAATTGGATAAATTACACAATATAAATCTTATGTTATTTTTTTGCGCAATTTCCTAGTATTACTTTTACTATATCTGTATAAAATTAATTGAAAATTCCATATTGGAATATCGTTTCATAATTCCATATGGAATTTTACTAATTTTATAAATGTCAAAGTTTGTAGGTATGGATATATGGATGGATCCATCATCCAGGATGGATATGGAAGTTTCAGGCAGCAACTACTGAACGGATTTAGATGAAGTATAACAATAATATAGGTTATACATCAAAATAACATATAAACTATAATTAAATAAAATATGCAAATTGGGCGAAATATAATGATAAATGTCAAGTATGTGTGATGCAGATGAGGTTCTTATGTAGAACATAAGATTTTTTTTTAATAGTAGTTTATATGTTATTTTGATGTATAACCTATATTATTGTATCAATATTAATAAATATTAATAATTATTTTGTATTACGTTCAGACATACCATCCTTGTCTATCATATATCCGTTTGTTTCCTCCAGGCGCAGTGGCTGCCCGATGTGGTACTGCAGCAGTTTCAGTTCAGGGTTGATGGTAACTCCGGACTCGCTCCACCGGAACCTTACCTTCTGATTACTGTAGGAAACTAAAACAAACATTAATTCAAGTTTAAAGTGAATCGTGTATATGTAGGTTTATGTGATGCTAAAATTAGTTACTTTAACAATATATTCAATAATGTTAGATACTGTTTTGAATTTGACGCGATCATTATTTAAACGCACAATTAAAGTTAATTGTAAATATGGGGAACTCAATAAAAATAAATAAAACATGATAAGATCCTGTATTACATAATCTTATTTCCCCATTGATTAATTATGATTTCATTGATACTACTAGTGACGGAAATTTTGTGAAACGACGGCTTTTGTGGTCTTGTGGTTTAGCACGCCGCCTTACTTATAATGGTCGCAGGTTCAATCTCACATGGTACAAACTTTTGTAATCATGAGTATAATTGTTTGTCTCGGTCTGGGTATTTTCTATGTACTCGTACATTATGTATGTACTTATAAAAAAAAAGTATATACTATTACCTACATCACACTAGGGACTGAATGGCACTTTGTGAGATGTCCTGAGATATTATTATTGTCATTAATGTGATTTATAATTTAATTTGTGAAGAAATGTATTCTAGTCATATTTCCTTTCAGCTTACGTCAAAAGCATAGTGAATTTGTCAGCATTTGATAAATTACTACCGCATAACATTAAATTTAATGATATAAGTACTCACAACTTTCTATATAAATAGGACAGGACTGTATATCCATCGGGTAGAGTTGAAATTCCATCTGGCAAGCGATGATCGCATGCATTCTGGCCGCGTACCTCACCGTTTGGTTCCTGTACAATGTCACTGAAGAAAATTTGTGCGTCAACTCCGCGATCTCTGCAATAATAATCAAGGACATCATAATACCTACTTCACACTTGTTTTTTACTTAAACGGAATGGCAAACATGCTGATGACCCACTTCAATGGCAATCTTCGCCTATAGGCATGTAGGGATGACGAAAATCATGTCGACATGTGATGGTAAGGTATTCCTCATGAGTTGCCAGTCCGAAGGACTAAGTTGAACATGTCTCCGACCCTATAATATTACTGCCATACCTCTCACCCCCCTAACTGAAAATAATTTACGCAAGTTGATTTGGTTTGCTGTTTGATCATTGCATTAGATATAAGAGAGGTGCCCATACAATCGACTTTAAACTAAGTCTATTAATAATTATAATCAGCCACACTTTACCTCAATGATAATGACGAGTTCATTATGCGATGACAAAATAGTCTATAACAGATTTCGATTTATTGGCAACATTATAAAAATAGGATTTGAACCTGCTATCTGACAGTCATTTTCACTGGGAATTAATATTGTGTATTGCAGGAAAATAGTAATATAATTCGTGAAAGAAATAGTTCGATAAGTGCTAATCTATAAAAATAAATCTAAGTGAATTTGTGATATAAATGTGCCATTCCTTTGATAATATTGAGTTTATAAATTTTTATTTAGTGATAACTAAAATACAATATTATGCTGAAATCTCAAATAGTAAGTGCTGATTTTCATTATAGTAGCTACCAATTTAGATATAATAATGATTGTAATCATTAAGTATCAATTATTCATTAATTTCAGTTAATTTTTAAAGAATTTCTATATTTAAACTATTTATACTACGATGGTGGCAAACAAGCATACGGCCCATGTGATGGTAAACGGTTACCATAGCTTATGGACGCCTGAAATACCAAATGGTATCGTACGCGTTGCCGACCCTAAAGAAACCTTAAAATACCCTTATTAAACACAATGCTGCAGTCTCTATATAAATAATAAATCAGTTCATCACTACTTAATTATATATACCGATATGATTATATAGGTATTCATAACTAAAAACTAAAAACTATAATCATATTTAAATTAATGCAAAAAGATAAACCATGTATAAAAACTAAATAAAAAAACAAACGCTGATGTTAATGACTAAAGTTTGCATAAATATTGTTATTTCTTCATTAATTCACATGACATAGTTTTAATTTATTATTGAAATAGAATATTAATTAAAGGAAATATCTAAACAGCTTCAAACAAAGAAACTATAAGGGGCAAGTTTATCCAGTGTACGGGTAGACAACAGCCAAGGGTTAAGAAGGAACTCATTCATTTCCCATTGAAAGACATCCTTTCCAAGATAAATATATCTTGCCTGTTAATAATCGCCCTAGTGGGAAAATGGAGTCAATAGAATACTAAACGTGTGTATGTGATTTATTAGCGAGTATGTGAATGAGGTCTTTAGGACGATGTGAAATAATGTCCGAAGTCTGAATAATTATCTCCAGCTACGAAATATATTAATGATGATACTGCACGGCAATAACTGATCATGTACAGGATTTTCATTCAATGTTAGACATAGACACCTATATAAGTGTACTATATAAATAAACGGACTTATTAAAAAAAGAAATTCAATTGAGTTCCTTGCCTGTTCTTTTCAATTGAATCTATATACTGAACTGGATCGTAGGGAAAAATAATTTAATATTGGATCGATCTAATAACTGAGTGTATTACAATACATTTCTCGTATTTATATCATAACATCAAATATTAGGCTACAATTCAATTGATACTGCGAAATAAAAGCTATTATATTCAAAGGTACATTTGTCCATCCGTTAACAGTATTCTGAGAAGTTAAAGTTTTGGGTTGGAATTTACAAAATCAGTAGCATTTGAGAATAATACCTACATAAATCTAGAGATAAACCAAATAAATCGCCGGTTTATTGCTCATCCATCTGGTATTTAGACGATATCTAAAGTTAAGCTATTTAATTGTTTTGTTTGTAGATATTATTGTTAAAGGAGAGGAAACTGTTTTGACATCAAAGCCTTTATCTGCGATACTATTACAATTTTTGATACTAATTAAATATTATTGTCATAAACTATTGTAAGTAGATCTTTATGTAGTGTAGGGGACAAATGAGCTTCACGTGTAGGTAAGTGATTACCGCTACCAATGAGCACCTCCGCAACAATATAAGGCAATTGCAAGTACATTACAGGCCATTTAAGAAATAATAAGCTCTTTTCTTGAAGGTTTCAATATCGTATCTGTTCGGAAATACCATTGAATGTGATTCCACAAAGTGGTTTTGGGTGGAAAAAATACTTTAATTGGTTGCTTTGGAATACTTTAATTGTTATAATATTAAGTTTCAATAAAGAACAAAGATAATGAGTAAAATGACGTCGTCGGTGGTCGCGGTTTAGCACCGACGGCAGTACCGATGGTCGCAGGTTCGATTTCTCACACGATGCAAACATTTATATTCTTAAGTATGATTGTTTGTATCGGTCTGAATATTTCCAATGCATATAAAAATGTGTCTAAGTATATCTACCTGTTGTCTAGTATCCATAACACAAGTTCTGCTTAGTTTGAAACTAGATGGCGCTGTATGAATTGTCCAAGCTTATTATAAAAAGTACTGAGTATCAGTACGAATATGAGTGCAGAGTGTCTTTAGAATACAAAATTGTGTACATATGTAACGTCATAAAGTATGTTATTTTTAAACTATCGTGTTTTTAATATATAATATTTGTATTGTTAACCGGATCTTAACATAAACAATTATATGGAAACCTAGTCGAAATATCAAAAGAGGTAAGATATATCTTTATTTGCCATAAATTGTTCGTACTAATACCCGGCTAACAGCTAGAGTCTTGGTTCATACAATTACTTTACTTTTATAAAATCATGCAAGTTAATTATTTGCATCGTGATTCTAGATGAGATAGTCAGAAATTTAATTCATTGTTAATGTGCTAGCAAGTGAAATAACTGGCTTATATTTTGCTGGATATGATGCGAGCAGGCGCTTGGTTTAATTTTTATGCTCAAAAGAAGGCTTCAACAACGGCACAGAATTTTAAAACTTATGTTATCTAAATAAAGAATTTTCAGTATTGAATTTCATTCATTATTGGTATTTTAATCGCCAGAAAGTCAGTCAGGATTTTAAACTGACTCAAAATTTTATAGAGTCAGAAAGTATTGAAATCATGACTTTGGCGTTTATAATTTTAACTAGTATACCTAAACTTTAAAAGTATATTGATCAACCCGAATATTTAGGAATATCCAATTAGGCATCGAATCTATTAGATTTATGAATGTAGTTTTAGCCATTAATCTAAACGCAAACTTAAGGAAAACACAAGTTTGGTAACAATAACAATTTAATCTGACAATCCTATCTATCTTGTAATAAGCCTTTTTGCAGGCTGCTGTTTTTATTTCAACTTTAACAGAGTCCGAGTAAATAACGGTTTAAAAATCTAAATAATTTAATGACTTTATAATTCTACGAATAAAATGAATAAAGAAGTAAGAAAGTGTTTCACTTCCGTAGACTTTTCTCTTTGAGTTACAAAGAAAAGAAATATATATACATTTTTTATTAGAGAGCAAATAAAGCACTTGTTCTTTAAATTAATAATCATTATATTATATGTAGATATATATTATTTTCTAATGCTGTTCGCTATCTACCAAATTTTACACTATTTTCTATTGCAATATTCACATTTTCTCTTTCAATATATTAAAACCGATTTCTAAATTTGTGGCAGTGACGTGCAAGTATTTATAAAATTTGATACTTATTTACTACTATATACTATAATATTTCGTTACTTTTCGATGTGGGTTTCTTATTGCTAAATGTGTTATAAATTTTATATCAGTAACAAATTATGGTGGATATAACTAAGCTATGCTCCAGTGATAAGTAAATTATTTAGTGATGGCGAATAATACATAATACGTTGCGCGTGATTTTGTTATCTGTGTGTGGAATAAACTATGGGAGGTATCCTACCAGCCGATTGATGCCGATAATGCAAAGCTCCTCCTAAAATTAAAGAGCTCATTAAATTATCAACTAATACACAAAACTTCATCCAATGTTAATGCTGGAATTATTCTAATTTTAAATTTGGAATTGCTACTTAAAATTGTGGCTTCACTTTTATGTTTTACTAATACCAATTCAGAACAACGTTGATAGAAGCGAAATCGTGATCTAATGGAAAATTGCCAAATAGATGTTATTTAGTCGATGTATTTGCTTTATTGTTGTTAAAATAAAACAAACACATGATTTGAATGTTTAAATATACATTGACAACTATTTGATGTATTTTCGATTTTGATTCGATCACATTGAATCTATACAATCATTAGTCGATTCCAGAAAAAAACTGTAACAACAATTTCTTGATAAACTTTGTTTAATGTTTATATAGCTTATATGAACCTTTTAATTATAAATAAATTCAATTAATTAATCATAAATGTGAATATTTGTAGAAATTATGGTTTCGTTTTATATTTTACATTGTGATAAGTACATAGATGTGCTTTGTGGCAAGCAGTGATAGCAGCTTCATAATGCAACGCAGTTGTTAATAATTTTTTACAAATTCAATTATGTATAAATTATTTGATAGTTGCAATTTTGTCATTAACCGTACTCGATTCGTGGCTATAATTTGTTTTGTTGTTGGTCACACATAATATAAACGTACGTTTTATCGCTGTTTATCATGAGAACGAAATCGTTATCAGTAATTAAATAATGCTTACGAATGTATGCGTAATTAAATTGGAAGTACGTATATCTTTTGTTTAAGAAAACATTAAGAAACAACTAATCTCGTAAAAGATTACTTCGGGTCCTTTTCACTAGGATTTCTTGCTAAGTGCTTTGAGTATAAGATTAAATATCTAGCCAATGTCGACTTTAATGCTCTTAATAAGAAGGGTGGCTACTTAAATTAGATCAAAAGAAAAAGGGTCTAAGCAGGATTTCTCGCTCGCAAGAACATCCGTTGTACAGACAGAAGACAGTGCCTAAATAGCGTTACTTTGTCGTGTTTCGGCGTTAAATAAAGCCCGTAAACTCCTTAGAGAAAAAGATTAGACTTTGTGGTGTGTACGTGCTTAGACACGCATTGTAAGTGTACTTGAATAGACGATATCAGTGTTGCCAGATTTGGGGTTTCTCTTAAATTTCTTGAAATTTTATAGACAATGCCATAGCAGGAGATAAGACGACCTCAAATATCGTGATCTTTTATAGGTAAGATCGCAGCAGGAAGAAGACGATTAACAGGTAGAACTCTTTATTACCCTATACCCCATAGACTCCATGGCGGAGTACACATGTAATTTAAATTAAAGTAGAAGGTTCATTGCACTTGTGTACCAAAAGTGCAGCCAGTAGAAACAAAAGGTGAGCTGTTGTGAGGTGGATTGTGCCAGTCTCCTCCACTAGATACTGATTATTTCTCTCTTACTTAATGAATTTGTTTTATTTTGTTTAATCAAGGAATTAAGCAAAATAATACATAATTCGAGAAAATAAATATATGATTTTATGTTAACAACGTCCTGAGTAAAAAGAGAATGCAAACGAAAAGTTAATTTATAGAAATTACAAGGTATGGAGTAGAATTACGAGGTATGGCCATCATATAACGAAGCGATATCTGCGGAGTTGTTTGTATTGATGGTTATCATTTAGTATTAATTAGTAATAGAAATAGTATTATTTAAAAATGTGAATACTATTGGAGCAGAGAAAAACTGAAAACGAGATGGATGGATTGTGTGAAAGATGATATAGCAAGAAAGAGAGTAAACAACGAGAAGACTACGAACAGGAATGAATGGAAGACAAGAACATATAATGCCGAACAAATTAATGGTGTAAGGAAGAAGCATGATGATGATGATTTACTATCAATTAGTTCAACAACATTTTTGCTATACCAGTTAGTCGTAGTCTGATCGCCGAACAGTCAACACTAGGCTTCCAAATTACATGCAAACTCTATTAATTGCCTAATGATGCCTCGTTGATGAGGCGAAACACGTGTCGCAATATGAATGTAGATCTAATAACGGTTGGAATTTTATCACTAGTGGGGAAGGCCGTAACATTTCTGGAAGGGGTGACCAGGTTTCTGCACTGAATGTTTATGGTCTCACACATGCTAATTGTGCCGAATTAAACAAAATAATGCAAATCCAATAAGTAATGTATTTGAGTTACAGAAAAGAAAGCTGAATACAGCATTTTAAGTGAAATGAAATTAATCTAACTATGTAGCGAGTTAAACTGTAAGTACTTAGGAATTCAGGGTATTTAGGAAGAAATGGGATTATTTCCTGATATGTTTACTTTGCCGAGAGGCGTTTAACAAGTTCGTACAGATAAATACGGAATATAAACATGTAATGTTTGCAATGTTGCCAGAAAACGAAGTTGGAGATTTGAGATTTCAATAAGATTAATGTTCACCAGGGCCCTGAGTTAGTGGAACAACTTGGCACTAAGTTATTTTTGCTTGTAACTTATCTCTAGTACTTACTAGTATTTTATCTACTCTTATAATATGAATTATCGTAGTTTATAAAGATGTTGGAATGTTTACTTCTCTTTAAATTTTTTTTATTTATTATGTTGGCAAACAAGGATACGTCCAATCTGAACTGGTTTAATGCTTAAATGGCTGAACGTATTTGACTGAAATGTTGTATACAAATAAAGCATGTAATTGAGTCGTTTAGAGGATATTTTTTAACGTAATTCACGCAAATAATACCTTGATATTTAGCCAGTAATATATAAATGTAATAGTGAAAATGTTTGGCTAATTTAAGTTACTGAATCGCGTTTAAAAGATTTTAAATAAAGTATTCATAGACCGTATCCTAGATTAAGAGATAGGATACTTAAAGTCTGCTCACTCGTCTCCAATCTAAGATTGCCTAGAAAAAAAAATCGATATTTTGTTATTAGGCCGCCCATTTTTACCGCTGTATTTTATTTTGATTTATTTTTTTATGTTTGTATATACATTAATTTATGTAATTGTATGTCTTATTATCTTATCGTATTATTGTCATTAGTTTATGTAAGTGCTGAAATTTAATTAGGCAGAATTAAGTTTTCAATGTAGTAACTATTCTATTATCTACTTCATTACTCAATTTTCTTAATTTGAAGACGCGATGTGACTACGGTACGGCGTGTCTTTAATCATATAGACGCAAAACGGATTATGAAATTCAAATCCATATTAACGTTAACAATAACAAAAGTGTGTCTGTCTTTCTGCCTGTTTATTAACTTTTCAAGAGTAAACGGCTGAGTGAATCTTAATGAAGGAAGAAGGAAGGCATGAAGATGGATTGTATCTTGAAAATGAACATAGGCTATCTTTGTCTCAATAAAACGGACAATTTCGCAGGAAATAGCTAGTGAGTCAACAATATATATGTACGTAATAATCATACAAAAACACCTTTATAGCATGTCGCGTTTTGACAACTTATTTGCACAAATTATTAACATTTCTTAGTGATTTCATCTTAACAGTAAATTGTGAAATGATAAGTAGATGTCTGGTGCCTAATTATATTTAGGTGACTTAAAAAAAAAACAAAATATAGTACCTGTGACTTTAGAATTTAAGAAGTAGGGATCCGGATGCCACAGATTATCGAAAAACTCTGGTGGAAGTGTCACGTGATCGTCGCCTTCTTCAAATATGTCTTCAGGCAGTTGCAGCCGGCTTTCGCTCCAAGTTTGTCGTATGAACATGTCGACTCTGTAAATGGGATAAAAATGTAATTAGTATTTATTTAAGTCATTATTATTGATCTCTGATTAAATCTGATTTAATCTTATTGTGTTTTTATATTTGAGCCTAAATAAATTACTGCTGGTTGGTAGTTTGTATCCACACGTTTCGACTAGTAAAATGTGAACTTACAAGGATTGTTTAAAAGAGCAACACACACGTTTCTTGCTTATTCTTCTTGTGATGAAACAGCTTTCCGATAAGCGGTAGATTTAAAAAAAATGTTGACTATTCAAAAGTGCTTAAATTAAGTTTATTTGAATAAATGATTTACTATTCTATTCTATTCTAAAGTAATTCTATTGTAACATTATTTTTAAGGATAATTTTCATATATAAATTACAGGATAAGATGCATGACATCTTACTCCTCTAGAATGGAAATACATGAGTAATAATATCATGGCTGTCACATGATAACGTGAAGTTGTAGTGCTGATCATGTATATAGGCCTATACGGTTATCACTTGCCACTAGATAGAGCGTCAGCTTATTTGTCATCTATACATATTAATAAAATCGGAATGTCTGTTTGTAATATTGAAATAACCGTTTTTTATTACATGCTTATGAATATAAATACGGTTCTTACACCAAAATAACATTTTTTTACATTTTTTATCTGTCTGTCTGTTTATCTGTTTGTTCTGGTTAATCTCAGAAATAGCTGGACCGATTTTGATGGGACTTTTATTGCCAAGTATCTGATGTAATAAGGAGTAACTTAGGCTACATTTATTTTAGAAAATTACAGTTAAATTCCACGCGGACAAAGTCGCGGGCACAGCTAGTTACAAATACAAAATTTAACGAGATATCAATTAGTAAAAACATTTAAAAATTTACCAAAATTATTAAATACTATTTACAATTTATAGTGTTTAAAACTAGATTAAGGACATTTTTATTGAATAAGTGTTAGTAACACTTTTGAGTAAATGATTGTTACAATGACGACCATAAAGACTTCCGGTGGCTTATTACACTATGTTTGTTGATGTAACAAAATTTACTGTTTAAATTACCATTTTAGTCCTTTTATAAAAAAAAAATAAGATCTTCTAATTATCAAACTTTATGGCTTTCACATTTAACGATATTTTCACTTATAGCAAAAAAAAAGCTCCGTGAGCTCTGTAACCAACCAGTTCGAACTCCGTGACTATGATAAAGTGAAAGATTATGTCTCAAATAGGGGGACGTCTACATAGTTTGTTTTGTCTAAAATGTAATAAAGGAAAATCTGATCTGCGTCAAAATAGAACCCAAATTAAGTTATGTGTAAACCAGCTCAATGTTATTTACGCCATCACGGTACCGCCCTTTTTATAAATTCCAACGTTGTCTACGAGAATAATACGGAATAATGGTAAATTTATTTCCTCATTACTTGTGGATAAGGCCGATTCGTTTACAATGAAAATCATAAGTTAGATTTAATACTATTATTATTTATCGATAACATTCAAAAGGCTGTCATGATCAGTAAAATTGTAACAATCAATTCAAAACCCTATATACCTTTCATGAATTTTATAATTATAAACAAATTCAATTAGTGGCTTGTGAATGCTAATATTTATGGTTTCGTTGTAGACTTTATATTGAGACAATTAGTTACCTAGATGTGCTAAGTAGCAAGTAATTATAGTACCTTCGTAATGCCACGCAGTTGTTATTAATTATTATTGTTATTGTTATTGTAATTATTATTAATAATTATGTATTACGTACGTTTATATGCCTTGTTGATTGCATTGGTATTACACTGCAATACTTACCGACAGCATGTAATTTTTTAAATAAATAAATAATTGATTACAAATTTAATTATGTAAAAACTTATGAAATATTGAAAAATATATAAATATAGGAATGAAGAATAACATTATGAAGCGGCAACGATACACAAAGACTATTAATTTCTTCTTTCACTTATATATGCTTTTCACTTTGAGCATTGAAATCGAACTGGTGTATCAAAACAATATGGTGGTTTTATTTTTAAAGTCACTAAGTAGGAATGTTATAGTCAAATAAGAACTTATATCTTGAACTCAAAAATAAATACAAGTGGTATCAATCGTCTATATAAAAAAACAGCTTTACGACATCACAAAATCATGAAAGTCCTGTGATACTACTCAAAAAATGGGGGGGAAAAGTAATTGTTGTTGAAAAGTAATTAATGTGGACTGATAATCCTATTGCATGCTAGCAATAGGATTATCAGTCCACATCAGGTTGAACTCTTCGCGGTTCTATTAGGCACATTGATTTTATAAGAAAAAGTCTAAATCATAACATTTAAAATCAGTAATCATGTTGCTAAATTTATATGTAACGTGCAACTGTGATCGGAACGAGAACAAATTATATTTGCTGCTGTATATGTGTAATCCACTAAATATCTCCATCAGGTTATGAGCCCCGGTATAGGTCCAACTATAATTAGGGATTAGTATTTTAACAGATTTAATTTTGGATATGTTTTTTGCTACTATTGTTCTATTGTTCTATTGTTTAATCTTCAGTATGTTGTTTTATATTATGTATGTTATTTAAATGTAGAGATGTAGAGTGTCTTAAATGTAATGGATTAAGGGACCGTATTAGGCACATTGATTTTAGAAGAAAAAGTATAATCCATCACCTTTAAAATAAGTAACATTTGATATGTAACGTGCAACTGTGATCGGAACGAGAACAAATTATATTTGCTGCTGTATATGTGTAATCCACTGAATATCTCCATCAAGTTCTCCCTGTACATTCTTAGTGAATTTGTTATTATGGGCTAACTGACCTGACGTCATGGTCATCTTATCATCCACTGGTGCCTCGCCAGCATAAACCGTTAGCACAGGCACCCCATTATATTATTTTCATCTATAAAAATAGTAGTAAACAAACATCAGATAACGTTTTCTACTTAGTATGAATATTTGATTTAATGAATAAATAATTACCCAAACATTTTCATTTCAGGTATTATAAATAAGCCCATTGATATATTCTTAACAGAGTATTAATATTATACATTCTATGTACAGTAAGTAGCTACATTCATTGGATGAAATAAGCTTTAGCTTGACAGATTTTACCTTTAAAGGGAATTATTAAAATTTATAATTCGAAACATCAATGGACTTATATGTACATTATGTAGGTTTTGTCTTCACATATTTTATCAACGGTTGATGTATCAATAAAATATTTATAATATATGTAACAAGCAATATGATTAAAAAAAAGTCTGTAGTACATTTTCGAGTGTGTTGTTAAAATACGTACGGTTTATTTAAAGCTATTTTATAGTAAAAATTGTTAAAGTTCCTGGCTGATTTTGATGTTTTAATGCACTGCCTTACGTTCTGATGATCTTTAGTTTAATTTTTGTATATTATACATTTTAACAGCCTCGGTGTTCTAGCGGTTTAGCACACTGCCTTACCTCCAATGGACGCGGGTTGGATTCTTCGCACGGCACAAAAATTTTTATTCATGAGTATGATTGTTTGTATCTTGTATTTACTAAATAAAAAAAGAAATATATCTATGTATTTATATTAGTTGTCTAGTACTCATCACACAAGGTTTAGCTATCTTAACTTGGGTCTAGATGGCGCTGTGTACACTGTTGTAATTTAGGTATTTTATATGTTATTATTAGTAGTATTCACATATAGGATATTACATTTTTATGTCAATTTAATCCGTACTAAAACGATTTTACTGTATGGTTCAGAGACTACACCAGACGTCTAAGCACAATCGATGGCGACAGCTGGTCGATAAGATCGTGTAGAGACGCGGCCCTCAGCAGTAAGGAAACGATCTAACAAACGAACGAACGAAGAAGCAGAAGGAGGGACTTGGACAGTGAGAATGCAAGCACATCGATAGATCAAATTCCTCGACATGTGATGCTGACGGCGTATGCTGCATATATATACATTTATTAAAATTTTAATACACAAATATACAAATAAAGGTGCACATGGCGAACTTAACACCTTGAGGTATTTTCTCCCAGTCACCCATAGGGCAAACAGAGATTCATGTGGGCAGTGCTTTATCAATTATATACATACATACTTACATAAATTACTAAATAATTACACATATACACGATATTTACAAATATATCTATATTATATATACTGTACACATACCAATACATATACATACAATATATATACAAATCAATAATGAAATTCAGGTTCGTAAAAGAGGAGGGGCAACGTAATAATAGTATTTAAATTTGGGATAAAAGTACTTACTCTAGGTCTGGGAAAGTACGTAATTTTTATTTAAATGTGAATTCCATATACCTTGGAATGCTCGTTGAACCAATGTTTCTATCCTTAAAGAACTCAACATCAGGGAGAATTATCGTCGACTGTACATTCGCGTTTTAGCATTTAGTTTTTCATCAAAAACTTATGTGAACAAAGCTTGAGAATTCGTAAACTATTTTTCAACTTTTTGTTCACATTAGCCGCAATTGTATAGAGAGACTAATTAATAATCTAAGGGCCAGTTGAGGACAAACGTTCTCGGGGTCGATCACCACCGTGATGGACTGACCTTATCAGAACGGCTACATGATGTGTAGCATTAGGAATTTAATCTTTCGACGTGCTTGCATTCTCACTGTCGAAGTCCCTGCTTCTTCTTCTTGATCGTTGTAGAGTCGCGACTCTCAACAGTGAGAGAACGTCTCACTACTGAGAGTCTCAACTCTACACGATCTTATCGACCAGCTGTCGCCATCGGTTGTGCTTAGACGCCTGGTATAGTCTCTGAACCATATAGTAAAATCGTTTTAGTACGGATTAAATTGACATTAAAATGTAATATTTTATATGTGAATACTACTAATATAGTACGTATAAAATACCCAAATTACAACAATGAACACAGCGCCACCTAGACCCAAGTTAAGATAGCTAAACCTTGTGTT